AGGATTGGGCTTAAAACACACCCCTGCGTCTGATACCAGTATGACAGTCAAAAGAAGGTGTGGTTTCACTGCCTAACTTGACAGATGAGGTCACTGATTTATACATATTGCATAGCGCTTTATGCATATTACCTCGAATGTCCTTCTTGAGAAGTAAATTCATCAATTTGACCCGATTTACGCAGTCAAAAGCTTTAGAAAAGTCCACGAGGATAATGGGAATATAATGACATTGTCGCGGCCATTTCGAGGAGTATTTGGGATAATTTGAATTAAAAGGGTACTTTCTCAGAATACTGTTTCAGAAGGGAGAGCAAGTTTCAAATCGGAGGGCACACAGCCACCCCAGCCCCTATGCCCTGGTTAGAAATCTCAGCGGATTCGAGCGTTATCAAACATTTCCGGTTACAGTTGTTTCCTTGTGATCGACCTAGTTACGTAGTTACGAGAATCTATGTCATGTGAGTATAAGATTTTATGTATTATAAGGTCCTTGATTTTAATAACCTGACTATAATAAATTTTATTTTATATGGGAGCATAATAAAACTCATACATTAATGTCTTAAAGATACATTATTTAAACATGCATTATGCAAGAGCAAAATCTGCTTATTACAAGTCTTTCTTTAGGCCTGAAATGTTATCTAAATTATCAATTAGATATTAATTAACTTATCACAGACCATAATAAACTCTCGATGTCAAGGCTAGCCTTCGATGTAGGCTGGATTAGATTCCTATATGCCGCTAACGGCCAAAGATAATTAAATCAGAAAAAGTGGATAATCGAGACTATGTTGTTTATATTAATGATTTAAGTAATGATAACCGAGACTATGCAAAAATTTCACCGGCTTCTTTCTCGGCTCATAGTGGATCAATTTGACTGAAATTTTCAGCAAATTACCTTTACACTATCTAGTTTTTAACTATTATAGCGAGAACTGCCATCTCTTTATCTTATCTCCCATAATGTATCTTTAAGACTGAGATATTAAGCTGGCCATTCTTGCTATAACAGTTTAAAAATAGATAATGAAAAATGAATATATCGAAAATTTCAGCCAAATTACCTTATTCTGACTGAAGTTATCGGTGTTTGTAATTTTCACACTGTAGTCGCGATTGTCAAGTACCATTTTTACGATAATAAACAAGGTCTCGATTATTATCTTTTAAACTGAAGTATTAAATCACTGTCTTGTTTCAATCCATTGAAATTCGAAACCAACCGATGTTCTAGAGAGGTGATTATGGGTTTGTCATGTGAATATATGTCTAATCAATAATTTATATCGCATTTGAGGCCAAAAATACCTGCAATAGGCAGATTTAGCTCTCACATAATGTATCTTTAAATACACACAGCTTTAATTTTTAAATAATGTATCTTTAAATACACGGCCTTATACATAAGATCAGTCATTTATTACAACCACGCTAATAAAATATTGTTTTATAACGCTTAAAAAGTCACGTGGTGAGATGTTTTTAAAAAGATGTATGACATTGGTAAATTTTAGAATTTATATATAACTTTTGGTTTAACCACATAAAATTCAAAAAAAGAAATTAACTGTCTATTATTAAGCTTTTCAAGGGCGCATGACTCTAGACGGATATGGGTTTAAAAGCACACATTAATGTAATATGAATGTATATACATTGTATGTAAAGAGATTTATATTTAATTATGTTCGGTGAAATACATGAACAGTCGAATTTCAATGGCAGTCGTCCATTCTACACGTTTTTTTTTTTAAATTATAATTTTGCCGTTCTTGAATCAGTTATTATCCGCATTGTCTTATACGATATGTTTTCTTTGTTCATTACAAATGGCCTCTGAAACTATAGCGTACACAACTCGACTCGTGTACTGATTTTTAAAGAATGTTCAGTTGTGTGTTAAATATCGAACCTTAGGATCCCTTATTAGGATAACAACATCAATATTGATTGAAATGGACCAATATTGAATTTTATCACCCAATAATACATTCTACAGTAGATATCGCTTGTGTGATATATTTTATAATCTACTGCGTTAGGATTCGAGATATCGCTTTACACGAATTTGATTGGTCAGTTGAAAAGGAACTACTTTTCTTATTTTCAAAGAACAGTTCATTTCTTATTAAAAGTAACTTTTTTTTAATTAAAAATGAACTTTTGTTATTCAATTGACCTTGATGGAAACACTGGGTCAATATAAAGGACTTTGCAATGGTTGAATTGCTGTCAAAAAATGATGTATCACTCACTACGCCGTAATGTTCAGTAAAAGTGAAATCTACAGATATTTATCTATTTGTGCATGAAAGAAAGGATTGGGTGATAAATAAAATCTCCTACTCGTCTTTTTTGATATCAAAACATATCAACACTCGTTGATAAAGTAAAAAAAAAACTCGGCAGAGACTCGTTTTTTTGTTACTTTATCAACTTGTGTTGATATTTTTTGATATCAAAAATGACTGGTTGGAGATTCTCTATATAATTCATGTATTAAATTTCGACTTTCACGGGAAAAATTGAGTTAGCGGTTTAGCTCCTTTGAATAGGCGTCTAGTAATACTGTACCAAATACAAATAAATAAATAACATTATTTAATGTCTTAAAAAGTTATTATAAAAAAAATGAAAATAAAGAGATCCGTGGTTTATTCCAGCTATAGGCCGAGAGGAAGTTCTCAGTAATTTTACATTGTGGTTTCCACTTGGCAGTGATGCTGGCCGGAGGGCCTAGTAAGGAATAGATGAGAAACATCATCTATCAACAACAAGCACATCAATATAGCTTAACATTTTAGCTACATTCTCGTAGCTAAGTTAAGGCCCGGTCCCAGTGGCCGATGAACACAAAACGTATGCCAAAAGGACACAGCAGACGAGCAAACTTTCGGGGTGGCTCCATCCGTTTTCATCGGCTCCAGAAATGGACAAAATTGACGAAAATTTGCGAAAACAAAACGGAAAAGAACGAACGTGGGAAGTATGTAGCGGGGATGTTAAATGGATGTTCATCGGAAGCCTATAGCGGATGGAAGTGGATGACAGCTCCGAAGGGTCTAGGCAAACTCCAGACATCCTTCAATATACCAGATACATCCCAGATACAAACGCTTTGTCCGTTTTGAAAACTTTATATACGAGATGCATGCGCTTACATCCTTTCTATTTCAGTGCTACTAACGATGTATAGACGTTCCATGTACCTTATCTTTCCTCCCTCTTTCTGTTTTCAGCCGGAGCGCATGTGAGTTGCGAGGATGCCCAGAGGGTGCAGAGAGGATACAGTGGGTGTTTAACGGATGATAACGGACATGGAACGTTTGGTGCTCGTATATGTCGCGCATTTACATCGTACACGGCAGAAAGTTCATCCGTTATAAAAGTTTTGTGCAGCTCAAAACTTTTTGCGAGGATGAAATCAAAGGGAACAGATAGAGCGTATGAAACACGTATGCAATGAGTACACAACGGACGCATGGCGTTTTCAAACGGAGGGCACGTTTTTCCCCGTTTTACATCCTCTTTGCATCCGTAAGTGCAGTGGGACCGGGCCTTAAGGAATGACTCCTGGTCATTGGGGTGGGTACAGCCTGGTTGGTGCAGAAAAGTTAAAAGTAGGACGTTAAGCCCTATCTCATTTCTGATCCGATCTGAATATTATATTTTTTTTTATCAAATTGACAACTATCAAGGAAACATACATGTTCGTTACAAATTTGTGCTGCAGACATCATGATCGATACACATAACAAATGTTTGGGTCACTTTTTTTTATCTTGTACGTGTATGATCAATGTCGAAATAAACATGTATTATACCAAAGATAGTGGCGTGTGTCACGAATATTATCCGATATAATATTAGTACAATACCGTTCTAGACACAAGTATCATGTATCTTTTAATACTAATATGTTTAATCTTTCAGAAATACTTGTTTGTCCCACTTTATAACATTCTATTTTATGATGACGTGATATTAAGATAATATAATATTCACCACGTGCACTTTAACTTTAACCCTTGTAACCACCATATTCATTCACATATGTATATTTAACATGCACTTTAACCATTGTAACTCCTAGTTCCACTCCGCTCCACATTCATATTCAGCATATTACAAAACATCTAATGTATATTATAATTATAGCCCAGTCGGAGCAGAACAGTAGGGCGTTAAACCCCATTAATATACTCATTTCGTTTGTATTATACTGGCTTCAAGTACATACGATTTTGATATGACCAAATGGTGTGCTCTTTAATCCCGAATGATTGAAGACTATGGGCTTCTGGGTGTCTGAGACTACCGATAATGATGCTGTTTTAACCAGAGAAATATAATTTTGTATCCATTTCTATATACAGACTGAGGTCAAAAATTCTATGGAATACAATTACTAAGCGAAGTTTCGACTAGAAATATATGACCTGTATATATTCCAGTTCAATTTTAAATGCCGTTGAAACAATTTCTATGTTTTAACCATCGTATCTCCTTCCCCAGGGGCGGATCCAGGGGGGGGGGGGGTGCTCAGCTACATAAATTTTTTTTAAATCAACACTTTTTATGAGAAAAGTTTCTCGGTCTCGTGCTTTATTTTATCCTTTATCGTCAGATATGGGACAGGATGGGCACTCAAAGCACGAGATAATGATATAGACATTATGTGATATCACAATTAATGCTTTGCATCCATGAAATTGAATCACAATGTCATTGTATTAATTCATAATAAAAATTGACGTCAAACGAGGTATTGAATTTCTCTGTTTAAAAAGCTCAATGTGTATGTTTATATGCCAAAATGACGATAGCGATAGAGACCATGCGGGAGGGGGGGGGGATACATTGTCTCAGGAAACTGGCAAACCCCCTCCTGCAAAAATTATATAATAGTAGATGTTATTCGAAACATAACACTACAAAGTAATAAAACAGGAAAAACTGTAGGGTAATCTACACAGATAAGGATACCGTTTAGTAGTCCATATAAATTTATCTCTTACTACATGTACATATTATTAGCATCTTCAAAATGCCATATAATCACATATATACATACACGTATACAATAAAATGTAGACAGCATATATTTAAAGAGCACAATAGAGTGGACTGGTTTATTTAGCTATAAATCAGTATCAACGATGCTAATGAACAGTCTTAAATTATTTAATATCTGTTTGCCCAATTAATTAACCAATACAGATAAATTAATAAAAAGCTGAGTGGATTTACAACTAGTATATTTGGGGCTGTGTTATTGAATGCTGGTTTATTAGCTAAGCATAGTAACAAATACATATATGCTCATTAAACAGTTTTAAATTATTAAATATTTTGTTTGCCTAGTCAGTTAACCAAATCAATAAAAAGGAGAGAGTGGGTTTACTAGTTCATTTGGGGCTGTATTATTGAATGCTGATTTTTAAAGCTAATATCTACTAGGTTGTTTATCTTTAAACAATATTTACATATAAAGTACCTCAAGTATGTGTGGTTTAATGGTCGAGCTGGAAACATTAAGTAATATATTGATATTGTACTAGGGCTTACTATTATGCAATGTCTTACTGGAGTCCATTAAACAACTTAAAATACAGATACTACATGTATATCTTGTACATGCAATTCATCTAGCATAAATAATGTTCGATTGGCACCTTGCCATGGCCCTTATTCACGATAACTTAAACTAAGTTACAACCGAAATTTTAAGAAATACTGCAACTTCATTGGATATATGCAAATTGATTTTACTGGTCAGTCAATCGAATTGCAGTATTTCTTAAAATTTTGAATGTATCTTAGTTTAAGTTTTCGTGAATAAGGGCCCTGTACTCTTATTGGAAATAATGGCAGTACACCAACAACAATATTTTAAGTTATCTAATGGGTGCAGCTTTGTACCTCACAAAGAAGAAGCCTACATGTATTTAGAATTTTTGTTAATGACACAGAGGACATTTAGTCGGCAACTAAAAGATTTTGAACAAATAGACAAAATAAACTATATGAATAAATAAAATATAATATTATACATGGCTGTGAATTATTTTTAATGGTACATTTTCATTATTTTATTCAGTTACACTTGTACCTGTAGTAATTTGAATATAGGTCATTTAAAGAGATTCAGATAAGTTCAGTTGAACTGTCTACCAATCTGTTGTGACCTTCAACTGTGAAACCTGTTGTGGCCATGAAACTGAAAGGTTTTGATCAGTGTTTACATGACCTTACAAAATACAGATGATGTTTAAATTTTAAGATCTACATGTAATCAATATTAAGAGAGAGAGGGAGAGAAATGGGGTTTAACGTCCACTCGACACAAACTAGGTCATTTCGGGACTAACATATGGTTTAATATTATTTCAATAATTTGCTTGCGCGTAGGGGTCTTCAGCAGTGGGAGGAAACAGGAGGACCCGGAGAAAACCCATGAGGTCAGACAGGCGACCCTGCTCCTTGCCACGTACAACCAGGGAATCGAAACCACACCAGTTGACTCAATGACAGACTTTATGACACAGCGTGCAAAAGCTAACCATTCAGCCACCCAACCCCCCCAATCAATGTTAAGTGTACACTGTTCATGCCTTAACAGGGATTATTTTAATCACCACCATTCGAGAATACAGCCCCTAATTCCTAAAAAAAAGAATTGAGCCCAAAGACAAATTAAATGTCCCTTTGATCCACCATAGTACCAGTATTCATTAATGTACAATAATAAACTCTGTTATAATATTTACCAAACAGTAGGGCTGGGAGGTAGAATACTAGTATGCCTTCATGCTGCAGGGTTATCCTTTGTAGACATTGTTAAAGTTTAAAGGACTCATAACACAACATGATGGATTCTTATTTTATTACATTACATGAAAATGGTACATGTACCTGTTAAGAGTATTGAAACATTGCATGTAATAAACCAAGAAGTAGTAATCCATAAAGCTGTGTCATTATAAATGTTCTACTTCTTTCTTAACGTCATGCAAGGATATTACATTGCTTGATAATGATACATGTGCCTGTAAGAGTATTGGAATGCCGCATGTAATAAACTAATCAGCAGTGAATCCATACAGTTGTGTTATCATCAAGGCCGGATTTACCTACATGTACATGTGGGCCTTAGACCAATCTCATCAACGGGTCCCAAAACTAGAAATGTTGAAACAAGGTTATACGCTGGTAAGCTGTAAGATAATTTAGTTTAGGTGGGCCCTCTGATAGCTGTGGGCACTAAGCCTATGGCCTGCTATGCCTATTGGTAAATCTGACCCTGGTTATTATGAATATTTAAATACCCCTAATTCTAAATATTATTTAAGGATATTATTATTAAAAGAATTCCTTTGGAATCAATATGTATTAAAAATATACAAAAAAACTATTATAATTCATGAGAACGTCTATCATCAACAACCATTTAACAAAAATCACATTATTACACAATGGAATATTTATTTTATAAATCCACTAATTAATAAATAAATCCACATTTTAATTAAAAGATCCATCAACTATTAAAATAATAGATCCATTAATTAATAAATACACCCATTAATTAATAAATACATCCATTATTTACTTAAAATATAAATACTCTAATTGGTTCATACGTCTGTTAATAAATAACGACTGTAGATTCACTAATTAGTTTGAATAAGTCTGTGGATTAAGACAGTAGTCTGTGACTCTGTGGACTCACTAATTAAACAATATATTCTCTGGATCTTGATTTTGTAATTGAGCTATGTGACGCAAAACATCTTTTTTGGTGATAATTCCTAATAATCGACCATTGTGGGTAACTAAAGTTTGTCGCAGACCCAATTTACGGAACATTTCAACCACTGTCTCCATGGGAGTGTGATCTGTGATGGTTATCGGCGCCAAATCCAAAATTTTACGCAACTTTAATCCTAGGGGTCCATGTGGATTATGAGTATTGTGACTTGCAAAATAAACAGGAGAATTACTAACAATTCCCTCCTGATTTTTCAAGGCGTTAGCAATGGCAAGGTTAAGGTCACGCCGTAAAACGAAGCCAACAAGATATTGAGATTCTCGTGATACAACAACAGGAAAGCCATTATGCTCGGTAGTTTTTAAAATTCCTTCAATTTCATCGACAGTCATGGAATCTTGAGTTATTACGCAAAGTGGGGGGTCGTTTCGGACCTCCAGGCCATAACGCCAGCATCTTGGACGCATGACATCTGCTGCGATAGTCTGGTGTGTGAACTCTTCCTTACTGTCCAAATAAGGGTATCCATTGAGCGCAATATGAGCATCATAGATACCTTCTCTGCCTAAAGCGTCACCAACCCATTTGCTCGTCATAGCTGCTGCCATCATGGGTACAATATATTGTAGTCCTCCTGTCAGCTCAAACATAATAACAACCAGTGAAACCGTCATTCGCGTAACTCCACCCAAAGCTGCTGCAGCTCCAACCATAGCATAAAGTCCTGGTGTTACAGTGCATATCTGTCGCGATTGACACATATTGGTAAATATTGGTGAATTTGGGTACGCCATGACCAGCTGCTCCACTCCAATTCCCATGACCCGTCCTAATATTGCGCCGACAGCCATGCTGGGGATGAACAAACCGCATGGAACTTTGATACCAAAGGTGAAAATGGTGATCAGTGACTTAAACAACAAAGCTAAGGCTAGTTTCCAAACTGCTCTAATCACGCCGTCAGACGCAATGGCACTGCCCATATACGGGTGATCGTTTGTCATGTTGCGACTGTAGTCACAGAGTTCAGTGCTATCTTCCGGTCCACAGCGTTGCACTAATAAGCGAATTAGTTCACTCCCATTCATTCTCGTATAACTATTGGGAAAACTAAGCAAGGCTGTTACAAATACAACAATAAGAACTTCGATAATGGGGTATTTCCCCAATGAAGAGGTCTTTCGGTATTTGCACCACTTAATATTAAACTTGATGAAAAACCAGCCGTAAATTCCACCAAGAGCTCCGAGCAATATAAATGGAATGAGTTCTTGAATGTACCAGGGTTCATTGTAATCTATATAAAACATCACCAAATGATCATTACCAAAAGGGTTAATAGAGCGTAGCACGAAAGCTGCCATTAAAGCACAAAAAAAGGACCTCCATAGGGTTTTCAATGGAAAATAGTAGCTAACTTCTTCTAAACTAAACAATACACCACCAATCGGAGCCCCAAAAGCAACACTCACACCCGCAGCACTTGCCGCTGATAAGATTTCCCTCTTTTTTGCTTCATTTCGTCCGTATTTGGGAAACAGATATGAGAAAATGTTGCCACAGCAACAGGCAACATGAACAAATGGACCCTCTTTTCCTAAACTCAGCCCTGCTGCAACAGCTAACATCATTCCAACAGATTTGACTAAAAGTGTCCATTTTCCCAAATATCCTCGAATAATAAATCCACTTAAAATGGTTTTGATTTCAGGAATACCAGACCCGCATGCATATGGGGCAAAAACTCTTACAAATAAAGCTGCAATGGCGCCAAAAATCAAGGCCCATACAATATAGAGAAGATATCCAATAATGTAGGATCCACCTTTCGATGATGATACACCAAATAATTTGGACCATGTGTACCACTGACTGCAACCACCTTCATCGTCGAATGTTGTCGCATTTCCTGACCAACAGCATTGTTCTCGATTCAACCAAAAAGCTTCCAGACAAATTCCTTGCTTTAAATCTGACATCCATGTTGTTCCAATGTCAATGATCCCAGCACAAACCCCAGCAGACACGCCCACAAGAAGGACACACACCCACCCTGACCAGGCATCATGCGCACTTTTGATTTTAGGTATACATCCATCTTGTTTATTCTTGATGATATGTCGGTGTCTCATACGATCTCGGGCAATATCCCTTAGCCAATCAATAGTGTGGAAATCCTCGTATTGACCACTACTGACGGGCAGGTCATCCTGGGATTCCAAAAAATTGGTAGAACCTTGAACATGATCGTCATTTAAACCTTGATCGTCTCTACCATCCATTGCTATATCTAGCATTGCCTCATCGTCTGATCCGCTAGTTGCTGATATTACGCCTTCCTGGTGTGAAGTTGCTCCGCCGTTATTCAACCGAGTACTGTTACCCACATCATCCGTCGCTTGTCTCGTCTTCGGGTCATGATTTTCCATATAATTATAATCGACAAGGAGGGCATCGGTCTCCATAGTAAACTGCGCCATCAGGACGCATTATCATTCACCAGCGTATTTAGTCTTTAAATAGAAACGTGTTGGTGAATTTATTCACCAGTCTTTATGTAAGCAGAATTTAATTGACATTAATATTAGATATTTTACGATATGTCATATGACTTTTTCTATAAATAATTACATCCGGGCAAGTGTGAGCCGGAAGTATATGATCACGCCCCCTTCGATCAGGTTGTTTCTGATTTCTTTCACGGAGCAAACCTTGTCTATTATGTAAAATATAATACATTAAACAGGTTTGACTAATATTATATGTATGAATACGATAGTGGTCTTAAAGGTATTTGCTGGAAACAAGAAAGACTATTTTCTAGACAATATTTGCGATTTAAATTATTCTAATCCACATTCACATTTTAGATAGTACAGTAAAATACTCTTTCGTGTAGGGAGGTTCATTTCGTGTTTGGCGTGTTTACAAAAGGTCTGATCAAACCTTTTGTAACAAATTTCTTTGTTAATTAATAACCATAGCCTAATCCAACAAGACAATATAGATTTGATTAGCTTTATGCTCAGACTTCTTTTGGCTTCTTTTTGTGTAATATTATTGGAACAGGTGCAGTTATCAAATTTCCACCCATTCTTAAAGGAGGGGAAACCTTTTTTGATTTGGCAACAATTTGGGTCAAAATAAATTTTTGAATAATTGGGTTTTTACTATGTATCTGGAAAATCAAACTAAAGTTATTATACAAATAACAAAAAAAATCAGTTTTCTAAAACACACAAATCACAAAAAATACAGAGATCTGCACTTTTCACTTGTGTGACAGGAATATGCACCAAGTGTGACCAAGTCTCGTTGACAAGTAACAGCAATATTTGTAGCGGTGGTATGGTCTTGTCCGCTGTTACAATTTGATAAACTTTGTAAAAATAAAAATACCTTCTTCATTAGCCCAGTTCGGAGCAGAACAGTAGGACGTAAACCCCATTTCATTTCATTTCATTTCTGCAAGTAAAAATAGCAACAATTGCAAAATTTTCAACACTATCATCACAGCTTGCATGGAACACAAATCTTACCAGACAGTGTTTTTCTATATTTTCGAGGTGACATGAAATCATGCATGTTCTAATTCTGGTTCAGTTGCCATTTTAAAAATGACAGAAATATCACGTAGCCTGTTAGATTTTATTAAATTTATGAATTTATGTAGTAACGTATCACCTTTTTTCAATGGGAATTGGTTTATTATACATTTCGTTTGTTAAGCTATGTGCAGTACAGTACAGTACAGTTTGAAGTCTGTGTAATTGAGAGAGTTATAAACCAGTAACTTATTTGTAGTCAAATGACTACAAAGCTAGCTCAAAAGAAGTTCTTAGAACGATCCACTACTGTGGCCAGAGCACAGAAGACATAAGAAGCCTCTTGATAAATAAAAAATGGACTTCTGAATGCAAAAGAAACACAATAATGTTAAGAAAAGGGACTTCTACAAAATTTTGTGGTCGTTTTCTTAACAGATAATTAAATAATTGTTTTTGCTTATATATGAGTCACATGCTCAAACGCCAAACTTTTAGAATTCAAAAGTCAAATGATCTGAACACTGGCTTCAAAGAAAATATGTCAGATGTTATGAAGTACAGTGTAAGAAATAAAACAAAATGTCAGGAATTTAATTGGAATACTGCTTTTTATAGCCTATATTTATATTTAATTTTCCTTTACAGAAAAAATTATGCAGAATTTTAACAAACCTATGTAACAGATAGATTAAAATGGCAGCTGATAAGTCAGCCCCGACAACAGAAGGCAAAAGGTAATAAAATTTAAACACTTAATTTGATCAAGAAATGAATGCTAAATGCAACCTACCACCAGTCATATTAATTTTAATACCTATTTCTGTTCTAATTTATAAACATGGCAAAGTAAATTAAAGGTCAAACATAACACTCCTCAAAACAAAATAAACAATAGTGATTAATGTTATCAGTTTTGTTGATAAAATACATGTACATGTATGTAAAGATACCTTCCTGCATATATACAAACTGGGTGATTTGATGATATATTTGGACTGAAAACATATTCAAACTAATTAATCTATCAAATTTGCTTCAAATCCCTCTCAAAACATTGGAAAAAGTATGTTAAAAGAAGTCATATTTGTGTCACATGACTTAGCTGACGCAGTACCTAGTTAATTAATTCTCGGATTATCCACTGCCCACATCTTTTTCCATGGTTTTTACCTCAGAAACTGTTGTACGTTTAAGTCTCCCTTTTTCAAGCCTGAGAGATCTGACAATCTTCACGTGCAACCTTTGACGTCACTAGAGTAGACATTGCTTAACGTCGCTTTGCCAGTTAGAGAAGCCTTTACATTTTTGTCCTGTATGTGCACCATGGGTATTTTCAGGGAATCCATTATTGTTTGAGTAAGATTGGATGTTTCTACTTTCCATATATACCAAAATTGACATAGTTTTATTGGAAATAATCACCCAGTAAATACTTTTGTGGGAAAGTATCTTTAACAGTGAATTAATTATATGATATATCAACTAATGTGTTTGTACATTCAACTTCAAATAAAAAAGAATGCAAAACTATTGGTAATTATAAATTGATAACCTATTCTTAAACATACATTATGCAAGAGCTAAATTTGCCTATTGCAGGTCTTTCTTTAGGGAGCCACGGTGGTTAAGATGCTGGCTCGCTAGCCTGGAGGTCGGGTGTTCGATCCCTGCATTGGCCGAGAAAGTTCATCTGGATTTTCCGACGTGCTTTCCCCTTGTCAGTGGTGCAGGGCGGAGGGACTAACAAGGACAGCTGTCTAGTCCTTCGGATGATACGAAAAACCGAGGTCCCGTGTATACATTGGAATGCACGTAAAAGATCCCTTGGCAGTTGGAATTCGATATAAGAGTAGGCGATAGTGCCGCTGCCCGGGCAAAATTTCCCTCATAGCACACTGTATGGCGTATGCCCGTCTTCATTAGCCCAGTATAGGAGCAGAACAGTAGGACGTTAAACCCCATTTCATTTCATTTCTTTAGGCCCGAAATGTTATCTAAATTATTAAAGGACAATATTGGTGTCAGTCATTATAAAATATGTGATAGAGCTCGTTAAATGCATCCCAAATATAATTTTAACACAGAGATCATTGCTACGATAGCTGAGAAACAAGCATGTGAAGAAACAGGAAGTGACGTCAACTGAATTATCAGTGAAATGAAATTCGAACGTTTGTCTGTTACCGCTCGTTACTTCAGTCTGTTATATAGCAGGACAACTCGTGTTTGTCATGTTTGACGTCACTTCCCGTTTCTTCACGTGCTTGTTTCTCAGCTATCGTAGCAATGATCTCTGTGTTAAAATTATATTTGGGATGTATTTAACAAGCTCTATCACATATTTTATAATGACTGACACCAATATTGTCCTTTAATTAACTTATCCAGACCATAATGAACTCTTGATGTCAGTGTTAGCCTGCGATATTTACTGGATTAGAATCCTATCTGCTGCTCAACTTTCATTCATGATTTAATCATGAAATTGATAATCAAGACTATGTTTTTTATCGTACTGACTTTAGTAACTTTAGAAATTTCAGTCGCTTAATTCTCGGTTCATAGTGGATCAATATGACTGAAATTTTCAGCAAATTGCCATTACATTATCTAGTTTTAACTATTATAGTGAGAACTGCCAACTATTTATCTAATCTCCCATAATGTATCTTTAATGATCAATAGTTAAAGTTCATGAATGAATATAGTAAAATGAAGAACCACAGCTAGGAGACATGCCACCTGAGGAAAATGCCATTGTGGAAAATGGTAACTGATGTTTATGACAGAATAAGCATACTCTGCCCTACAGATGACACCAGTCATATATAATACTGAAATCAAATGTCTTTTTGTATTTTAGGTCAGCAAGAGGAAAAAAGAGGTCTTCAAAGCTGCTGGATGATAAAGATGATGATGATGATTCTAAAAGACCAAGACGTGCATGTGAAAGATCTCTTTGTCCAGCCAAAGTTCCAATTTGTTTTGCTGGAGCCACAGACAGGTATAAAAAACAGGTTTGATTAAAAAAAGATCATAGATGGATTATATTGTATTAATTTTATGAAAGCTATATGTAATTGTCGCTCTGTCAATTCAATTTAATACTTGTGCGTATACAAGGGGTATTTCGGGACCCAACAACCATATCCATAATGTTTGTCAGAAACTGGTTCAGTACCAGATGTATTTTAGTGAATAAAACTGCATAATTTGGAGTGAAAGAGGCATTTGTGATAGTCCTGTGCCACTTCAAAATTTTGTCTTTTGATTATTTTATACACCCATATTGAAATGTTGTAGTATATAGTTGTCATCCCTGTAAAACCACCATCCATCAGTCAGTCCGAAACCCATAATTGCATGTTCTATCTACCCGATAGCCTTAGTCCTTACTCATTAACCACGGTGGGACTCTGGTAACAATATGTATTATTTATTGTAGATGTGCTGGTAGTTCATGGACATCACGATGGTACCATATTTCACCAGGAGAACATTTCTGTAATGAATGTTTTGATCATTACTATAGAGTGTAAGTTTAGACGTATATATATATTCAGCCATGCACTGTGCTATGAGGGAAATTTTTTTTCAGACAGTGGTGCAATGGCCAACCCCTATTTCAAATTTCAACTGTTCAGGATTCATTTATTTGCACGTTAATGTGTACATGGGACCTCGGTTTTTCATCCCATCAGAATGATTAGACGCAGTTTCGTGCCACATCCGCCTTACTGCACCACTGAAATGGTTAAACCATGCTGGAAAATCTAGAGGAACTTTCTCAACCAAAACCAGGATCGGTTGTCCGAGTCTCGAGACATGATTAACGTACCAGTGTATTAACAAGTATATACCAAATATTAGTCCCTAAATAGAACAGTTTGTGTTAATTAGGCATTAAGTTGTTTTCTCTCTCTCTCAAACATATTCTGAATTACTTATTTACTTAACAAAAATAAAAATGGTTGGAGTGCCCATGTTTAGATTTGTCATTGATTCCAAAAAGTAGTGAGGTTTTTAAACATGTAATTGAACATGCTGCCCGAGTGGTTTAATATATTTAGGTATGAGTTAGTACCAAATAGTTTATTTATCTGAGAGTCAAGGTTTGGACTGTGCCTTCTTAAGTGGGAGACGACTAGTATGTGTCTCTCTTTTGTGGACTGAGGTGGGATTGTCTGTTGTATTAACTGGACGGATAGACCCGTCATATTTCGATTATGTGTCTTTGTTGAAAGAGTGGCTTATTTTCAACCAGATCGGCTCTGGACTGATTTGATTCTACAGTATCTCTCGTGGCTGAGAGAATAAAAGTTTTTTTTAGCTGAGAGAATATCTTCCATCAATTAATGGTTGAATCCGAGACAGAAAGCGAATCACAACTGACTGATTTAGTCAACACATTTACCCATAACTAGTCACTGACACCCTGGATAACCAGTTCTTCATAGCCACTCTTTATCTCCTATATTTTCTTATTTACTTATATTTAAATGATTTTTAAAAAGTATGGTATGGCAACTTGTAAAATTATTATCGTTGGCTCTTTTTTTTTTCAGTCACAAAGATGGTTATACTACGTTCAGTGATTGGAAGAGAGTATGGTCAACACATGGCAAAAACGAGCCAAAGTTGATGTTGTTTTTTGCGGATCAGATGCTACCATATTGGGTACAATGTACAGCTAAAGACTGTAAGAAGTGGAGACAACTTTCTAAAGATGCTAAGTTTGATACTGAACTGGTTCAAAGGTTTAAATGTGGAATGTCCTCTAGTGGTGTCAAGGTAAATAAATTTAATGTAAAAGAGGGTTTTCAACTTCAACAGTTAAAGATAATTACCTCCCCTAGGAGTTGTTAATTATAATATTAACTTCCTGTATATAGTCTGGTATGAGTTAACAACATGATATTAACTTCTACACAGTCTGTTATTAGTCAAATCCATACGTCCTATATATTATAGTCTGATAGTGACTTAAAAACATGATATTATCAGAGTTATTGCCCATGCCATTGAAATATTGGGGATACTCGATTGAATGATCTGAAATTGAATTCTCCCAATTCCAAAAATAGTGAAAAACGAGTGAAAAGGGGGGTTTCGAGCTACAACACATGTGTGACCTGCTTAAATATACATTATGCAAGAGCTAAATCTGTCTATTGCAGGTCTTTCTTTAGGCCAGAAATGTTATATAAATTATTAATTAGACATTAATTAACTTATCCAGACCATAATCAACTCTAGATGGCATCGCTAGCCTGCGATCTTAAGTGGACTGTGATCCGATTTACTGCATAACTTTCCTTCTCGATTAAATGATTAAATGGATAATCGAGACTATGCTGTTTAACGTACGGACTTTAGTAATGATGACCGAGGCTAGGCAGAAATTTCATTCGCTTAGTTCTTGGTTCATAGTGGATCAATTTGAATGAAATTTTCAGCAAATTGCCTTTACGTTATCTAGTTTTTAATTATTATAGTGAGAACTACCAACTCGTTATCGAATTTCCCATAATGTATCTTTAAGGAAATATCTCAACCAATCATCACATCTGAAACATATTTGTTATGTTTATTTATGTCATGATTCTACTCACACCACCTCAGTCGTTGGGACTGGTAGAACTATGTCAGGACTGAATTCAGCTTCACTTGATTGCAAATCTGTGAATACGGGACATTCTTGACTGGCATTTAAGCACCCCCAACATAATCACTCTTCAAGTAAGGCTTTCCAAGATTCTTTCAAATGTACTTGGGACTGTTATCATGATGAACTTACTTTTATTTTGAAGTGACATTTTTTTAAAATTGTCTTTTTTAGAAAGAAAATCAAACTGGTGCATGTCAAGTTTCACAAGACGCAGTAAGTTTTTTGGTAGAAAATAACCAAATAAGATTTTAGAATGAAATTCGAGTTATTCATTTTTAATTTTATGTTGGTGGAGCAAAAATACATAAAAGACCAACTATAACAAATTAACAATTGTAGGTTCCCCCCTTCCTCGCTCCCCCGTGACATTTTAGGCAAAAAAAAAACTTGATCATTGATTGCATCGTTCAATCATTCAAGGGAGATAACTTTATTTTTGATAGATAACAAAACAAGAAATGCCGCTTGGTCTATTTGAAATTGATTCGGATGGCCGAATGGTTAGTACATGCGTGCTGTATCATACAGTCTGTCATTGAGTCAACTGGCAGGGTTTCGAGTAGGGTCGCCAGTCCATCCTCTTGGGTTTTCTCCGTGTTCTCCGGTTTGCTCCCACTGCTAAAGACCCCTGCGCACAAGCTAATAATGAAATAAAAAATTGAACCATGTGTTAGTCCCGAAATTACCTAGTTTGTGTCAAGTGGACGTTAAACCCCATTTCTCAATCTCTCTCTGGAACAAATTTTAGCTCTTTATCAATGCATCCTTAAAAGCATTATTAGATTCATTAAAGCCCCTGGTCAACATAGCCTGTATTTTTAAGATATTAAAATTGTTGTCCTTGGTGTGAAAGTTTCATCAAATGTGTTATTGTTTTGCTTACAGAGAGTAGATTTACCTATGAATCGAAGATGGTACTCACAAGTCACATCCGCTCCATATTTATGGAATTCTCCATCTGCAACATTTTTAACTGGATATTATCCAGATGGTGTCGGACTCAGTGTTTCGGATCCTTCCATTCGAGGTGTTCAAGAAGATCCATTAGCCAAATATCCTAAAGGACTAATACAGCCATTTACGAATGATGGAGAGTCACGGAGTGCTTTAAGTTTTCATCCTGATTTTATAGAGACTGAAGAAAATTATTTACCTCATTTATCACTAGATAACCCCACACTATATTTAGCTCTACGTAATTTAATTATGTCACTATGGGCAGGTAATATAAAGGTAAGTAGAATTATCACTAACCGGGGGGTCCTGAGTTTGATCCTGGTGTCATCTGCGAAAATTACTCAGGTTTCCCCTTGTGGTGCTAGATGCTGGGACTGGCAAGGAACAGTGTCTAATCAGATGAGACAGAAAAAAATTAGATCCAGCGTTCACTTTGCTGTGCACTAGAAAGAACAAGGTACATAGAGAAAAGTAGTTATGTACGTCTACTTTTATTTTCTAAAAGCATTGGTTATAATTTATTATTATTATTATTGTTCGATTTATATAGCGCTTCATTACACATGAGTGTTTCTTAGCGCATTCACAACAAGACAGTTCAAAAACAGTTTTGAAATAAATATGTTTTTAAGTTAGTCTTAAAGCTCATGATGGAAGAGGACTCTCGAAGAGTTTTTGGAAGATTATTCCACATTTTAGCTGCTCTGACGTTGATTATATTTAGGAATCCTTAAAATGCTACCATCACCTGAAGAACGAAGGTTGGATCGCCAGGGAGTATAGAAATCAAAGAGTTCTTTTAAATAACTGGGTGCAGTGTCAGAATAAATTGATTTAACCACATTCACTTTAAGAGCTTTAAATTGAACCCTCGCTCGAACTGGAAGCCAATCCATTTCTGTAACTTAGCTGATATATGATCAAATTTTCGTGGTCTAGTTATGAGACCTGCAAAATTGTTTTGCGCCATTTGTAGTCTGTTTAAAGCTGTTTCTGGTGCTCCTAATAGAAGTGAATTTGCATAGTCTATATGCGATGTTACTAAGGCAACACAAATAAAATAAGTTGTTTCTCGGGCACCGCCCGCACGCAAAATTGGTTGCGCGTGCGGCCTATTAGTCTTGATGACAAATAAAAAATATGTAACGCCCGCCCGAACATCGATAAGCAAGTCATAAAAAGAATATGCCGCATGTATCTACATGCCCCATACGTGAATATCCATTCAAATGTATTAAACTGATTCAGATGTAAACGCTCATTTACGGGTCTTTTTTATTGATATCGAAAGAACCTCCATTTTTGTATCACAAGATTTTAATTACCTCCCCTTGTGACTAGAATTTGATTTGTGTTAAACACCGAAAGTCATTGACAACAATGCAATGTATTTCAATCATTCAATCTTAATCGGCTCATTATTGCCGGCTTCAGTCGGTCCATGTTTGAAAAAATCCTACTTATAAAACAATGAATCGTAGAACAGGTTAATTATTATAACTTGTGGCTACGAATACGATACGATGATAGTCACCATACCTTAGTCAGAATCTGGGTCATATTAGCATATTTAACGGTAGTTTTGATAATCCGGAAAATAATAATTGGATTACACATTTGATGGTTTTACTGACGATTTGTTACTTAAATTTAAATAGTCATTCGATAGAACACCGAATATCCTGAGAAACACACCGAATAACCTGAGAAACAGTCATTTCCCGAATCCCGATGACACGTGACATGCATTGGTTGGAATTAGGTCAATCATTATAAACCAGCGATACTAGATCAAAGTGTCGTTTACCGTGATGATTATTTTTGATACACATGCTGACAGAGGCTTACTCTTTAAAATATTGTCGTTATTATGGACGGCTATTAATAGTCGTACGGAATTTTATTTTAAAACAATTTCAATTATGGTTGTCACCATTACCATTAGTAAGCTACATTACGTGAATTAAATATGGAAAATTATTTTCCTTTCAGTCAGTGTTCAGTGTTTGAGTAGACTTGATTTTTGGGTTTATGTTCTAAGTATGTATAATATATAACTGAAAGCAAAACCGTAGACAAGTAATGACTTTCTCATTAAAAAAAAATAAAAATACAAGGCCACCCTCCCGCCCCAACAATTTTCAACAATAGGCAAATTTTATTTTGCACCATCCTCTAGCCAGAAATGAGGTAAAAAAAAAAATAAAACGCCCTCCCCCCCTACAGTTTCAGCTGTCAGTTGCCCGAGAAACAAGACATATATTTTGTGTAGCCTAATGCTCTAACAACACTCTGGCGTATTCTCGAAATAGCTCTCATTTGAAGATGTATTTTCCTCTATTTTCTACCAGAGAGAAATGTTATGATTTATGTCTTCTACTTTTATTTTCTAACAGGAATGGTTAACGGTAGAGAAATGTAGTTATAATTTATTATGTCGAGGTTTAACACGAATTAGAATGGTAGAAGATTTACCTTTATTACTACAATATTTAACATGCAATGGTTTCATCAACTCAGGCTTATTAACAATTCCAAGCAGTCTCCATATTTCTTCAGACATTCAGGTAGTTATCCCTTCAAATCCTTTATGAGATATGATATTAATACCTTTTATCATAGATGCATGTTACAGGTACTGCTCGTAAAGTAACTAGGGTCAAACTGCCTCCAAGCTGTTACAATGTAAAGTGCGAAACTGTCATAGTCACTTCTGTTTCCATTGTCTCTGATAGTTCCCATTAATAAGTCTCTTTATTATATGTATCACAATAACAGTTTTCACTGCCTACAGTGGTAGCAACACTATACTCGCTGATCACAGCGATCATACACTCATCATTTTAAACTAGTGCATCTAGATAATTGCAGTACAGTACACACAAATACCAAGACAACCCATTTCCATGTGCGGAATCCAAGCTATTTGTTGTAAATCAATATTTTGGTTAGTCGAAGTCCATGTGGTGATTGGTGATTATTTGGACTAATAACACAGTGTACCACTTTTGCCCTTGAGACAATTTTGGCTCTTTATAAAATTGTCTCTTCAATTTTGTTTATAAAGTCAAATCACACAGTACTAAATGTACGTGGATATAGTTGTTCGTAAAAAAACAGTGATGTTTAGTTAAATTGTAATCATTGTCAAAATAGTCATCAAATTCTAGCTGTTTATTGACCTATGGTCGGTTGACCAAAAATAGGTAATGTTGCCTGTCTTGTTTGTGGGAAATATAGAGTTTTATTCCTTATATGGCGTGGAAATTCACGTCAAGGTTATTGAAGACCTGCAAAAAGTAGGGGGTATAAATTAGGGTGTAGAGGAGAGGTAGATTAGAGCTCACCCAGAAATTCTTACCAGTCATTACCATTGAGAACGAGGAACCTGAAAAGCCAGTACAACTTAGTAATAAAGTTGGGAAATCAGTATTACTGTAGTGTTATTTACGATCACAAACACAACAAATAAAGAAGTCCGGTAGTACTAGGCGGGTTGGATGGCTGAATGGTTAGCGTGCGCGCGCTGTATCATAAAGTCTGTCATTGAGTCAACTGGCGTGGTTTCGAATCCCCGGTAGTATGTGGCAAGGAGTAGGGTCGCCTGTCCAACCTCGTGGGTTTTCTCCGGTTTCCTCCGGTTTCCTCTGGTTTCCTCCCACAGCTAAAGACCCCTACGCGCAAGCGAATTATTGAAATAAAATTAAAACCATATGTTAGTCCCGAAATGACCTAGTTTGTGTCGAGTGGACGTTAAACCCCATTTCTCTCTCTCTCTCTCTCTCTCTCTCCGGTAGTACTACAACAGTCCATGTGGTGATAGTTGATTACTTGAACTAATAACTCAAATTGAGGTGGAGATAAGTCATTATTTGGACTAATATTGCAAGTCCATGTGGTGATATGTGCTTACTTGGACTAATAACTCAAATCGAAGTGATGATAGGTGATTATTTGGACTAATAACTCAAATCGAAGTGATGATAGGTGATTATTTGGACTAATAACTCAAATCGAGGTTGTGATATGTGACTGTTTGGACTAATAATGCAATTCCATGTCGTGATAGGTGATTATTTGGACTAATAATGCAAGTCGATGTGGTGATAGCTGATAATTTGGACTAATAATCTATGTCAAGGAGGGGATAGGTGATTACCTGTATTTGGACTAATAATGCAATTACCGTTAGTATTTATTTATCTGTTTACAGAAAGATGTTATTATAATAGGAGGTGGTATCAGTGGTTTATCAGCAGCTAGATATTTACATGATATGGGTGTCAAGGTAAGTAAAAAAATAAATTAAACCTTCAAAATATGCTTCACGACATACACTATATTCTGTCACAATTTTCAATCAAGTTGATTCATACAAAAATTGGCTTATCTTTGGATTTGTGACATGGACAGTGTATTTAGATTTGTTAATTTTAAAGAGACATTAGCACCATCAAGATCTTTGCTGTTGATTTGATTATAAGTACATCCAGGACTGTCGGTAATTTTTCACAGTTGATTAGTGCTAATCAAAAGGTCTAATTTTGAAAAATTTGATTAGCAAATTCAAAAATTGATTAGTACTTTTTCAGTTTCAACATAAAACATCTAAATAACAAAATATTACTTTAATTCATAACAAATGATTAGATTTCATTCCTTAGATTTTTTTTGCACTACTGCAGGTAGCTGTGACAGCTGGTGAATTTTATTGTTATGTAGACTTTTGGTTAGGTCTTATGTCTAAAGCCAATTCTTGGCAGTGGCTTCCAAAGCCCCACTCATTTTAATTATTATTTCATCGTTACATTAGAAATCTTCGTTAAAAAACAAATGCGTTTGCTTTTTATCATGTGTTACTATTTTTGTTCAATCGAACACACACGGAATTTAACAAATAAAGTCGATTAACTAGACACATACGATATAAACAATAATATTTTACGTGAATTCTTATTTTGATTTCTCATTTTACAATATGTTTACATGTATTTATTTTTTCATATTTTATTTACAAAACGTGGAGGATACACTGGATTTATTTTTTTTTCAAATTGAATACTGATGTAATTACTCGAAATTGACATGTCTTGCAACATGAGTGGTACTACTTGATTCCCTATTTCCGGTTTAATAGTCCCTATTCATAGAGGGGGTTGGATGGCTGAATGGTTAGCGTGCGTGCGCTGTATCATAAAGTCTGTCATTGAGTCGACTGGCGTGGTTTCGAATACCCAGTAGTACGTGGCAAGGAGTAGGGTCGCCTGTCCAACCTCGTGGGTTTTCTCCGGGTCCTCCGGTTTCCTCCCACTGCTAAAGACCCCTACGCGCAAGCAAATTATGTAAATAAAATTAAAAACCATATGTTAGTCCCGAAATGACCTAGTTTGTGTCGAGTGGACGTTAAACCCCATTTCTATCTATCTACCCTATTCATAGAGTTATGTCCCTGTATTATATAGTATAATGAATTGTGTCTGGGTAGCTCGAGAAGAAAATGTCACACAGAGAATTCAGTTTCGTTTATAAAATTTTATTTGACATTTTATACACGTTGAAAGTGTTGAGAAAGCCTTCTAGTCTCCTACATCAGTCATATTGAAATGAAATGGGGTTTGACACCCCACTCTTCTCCTCTGGCTAGGCTAATGAAGATTGGCAGATGTCATACAGTGTGCTCCTATGTCAAATTCCAACTGCCAATTGTTCTTTTACTTGCAAGCCATTGTGTACCCGGGACCATCCAAAGTACTATATGTTGTACCATGCCAGGCACTACTGACAAGGGATAACCATACCAGAAAATCATGATGAACTTTCTCGGATCAACATGGGTATCGAACACTGGCCCTCCAGGTTAGCGAGCGAACATCTTAAGCACAGAGCCACACATGTTGAAATTAGATTGTACGAAAAATTTGGGACAAAATTTAACTTTTAATTATGAGGATTGTATATTTTCTTAGTGGTGATTGTGAACATTTAGGAAAAATATGTTACTTTAAAAATTAAATAAGGTCAGTGCTTGGAGATGTGTCTTAATCAGGCATTATGCAAGAGATAAATCTGCTTATTGCTGGTCTTTCTTTAATCAACTCTTGATGCCAACGGATGGCTCTGATATTAAGTGGATTAGAACTGTTTGGTATTATAATGATTTACTTTAAAAATGGATGATCTAGACTGTGTTTATTGTCAGAACAACGGTGGCATTGACAATCGAGGCTACGCTACTCTACGCTACTTTCGACATATTCACTTTTCACTATCTATTTTTTTTACTGTTCTAGCAAGAACTGTCAGCTCTTTATCTAATCTTACATAATGTGCCTTTAAGGTTATTTTAAATATGAATTCAAATTATTTACATTTTTTTATACACCCACATTTTTATTTAGTCGCCCCTGTCCGTCCACAATTTGTTTGTAGACACACTGCAGGTCACAATTTTTATTCGATGAAATTTGAAATATAGGTTTATAACTCAAAGATCTCGGTTCCTTTCAATGTTCGCACATAATGTACCGTAACTTCCTAGATTATGGCCCCCGATTTTATGAACTCTCTACAGGTCACAATTCTTGTCCGATTTTTACGAAACTTGAAATATAGGTTTATCCCCAAAAGATCTTGGCTGCTTTCGATATTGGTATGTATCGGATCGAAACTTCATGGATTATGGCCCCTGTTTGTATGAAAAATCGCGTTTTTAGCTTGTGGACCCTATAGAGGTCATAATTTTTATCCGATTTAAAAAAACGTATTATTATGTCACCGTTACACCCTTAGGACGACTGAGTTCGAATTTCGTGAAAATCGGCCCAAAATTGACAGACAAAATGGCCGCCGTACGTTCTCAAATAGCGTAAAAATGTGGTATATCAAGGTTGTGGACCCTATAGAGGTCACAATTTTTATCAGATTTTGTTGAAACTTGATATGTAAGTTTATAACCCAAAGATCTCGATTCATTTAGATATTCGCGCATATCGGACCGTAACTTCCTGAATTATGGCCCCTGATTGTATGAAAAATCGCCTTTTTAGCTTGTGGACCCTATAGAGGTCATAATTTTTATCCGATTTAAAAAAACGAATTATTATGTCACCGTTACACCCTAAGGAAGACTGAGTTCGAATTTCGTGAAAATTGACAGACAAAATGGACGCCGTTTGTTCTCAAATAGCGTAAAAATATGGTTGTGGACCCTATAGAGGTCACAGTTTTGATCCGATTTTGATGAAACTTGAAATACATATTAATAACCCAAAGATCTTGGTTCCTTTCGATATACGCACATTTTGGATCATAACTTCCTGAATTATGGCCCTTGATTGTACGAAAAGTTGCGTTTTTAGGATGTGATCCCTCTAGATGTCACAATTTTTATCCGATTTTAAAAAACGTTTGAATATATCCCTGTCAAACCCTTATGATGGTTGAGTCCGAATTTCGTACAAATAGGACCAAAACTGCCGGACAAAATGGCTGCCCCTCGTACGAAAAAATATTGTAAATATATTGTATATCAAGGTTTTGGACCCTCTAGAGAGTGGACACAATTATGATCCGATTTTGATGTAACTTGAAATACATGTTTATAACCCAAAGATCTTGGTTCCTTTCAATATTCATGCATATCGGATTGTAACTTCCTGAATTATGGCCCTTGATTGTACGAAAAAATCACTTCTTTTTTTGAGCTTGTTCTCTGTCCATCTCTTGCAAAATGTGGGCGTATCTTGTATGGCAACCGCTTTTTGTCTGATTTTAGAAATCGTTTAAATATATCTTTGTTACACCATTATGATGATTGAGGTCGAATTTCATAAAAATCTGACCTTAACTACCCGTCAAAATGGCTGCTCCTTGAACGCAAATTGTGTAAAAGTATATATGTGATATCTTGAAGATCTCAGTTTCTTTGGGTATTTGCACATATCAAACCATAACTTCCTGGATTATGGCCCATGATTGTACAAAAAATTGTGTTTTATTCTTTTAGCTTGTTCTCTATCCATCTCTTGCAAAATGCGAACTTATCTTTCCTGGCAACCACTGGTTCAGCTTGCCATCTGAATTACTGAATTTGTTATTTAGAAATGAAATGAAATGGGTTCAAACTTTGTACTGCAGTCTGTGCCCCTGTAAGGACAAAATTTCCCTCATAGCACACTGCACGGCAGTAGAAGCAGAACGGTAGGATGTTAAACCTCGTTTCATTTCATTTCCTACTGTTCTATTGAAGACAGGCATATGCAATACAGTGTGCTTTGACGGAAATTTTGCCCAGACAGCAGTACTACAGCCTACTCTTATATCGAATTCGAACTTTCTAGGGATCTTTTACATGCTTGCCAGTGTGTACATGGCACCTTGTTTTTTTCGTCATTTAGTTTTTATAAACGCTATTAAATAACTTTTAAACAAAAGTTAAGCTAATCTATCAATATTTATGTGTTTATTTACTTGAATACAATAGAGAGGAATAAAGAGATAGCAGAGCAGTGTTCATCTAATAATAAAGTTAAAATGTGGTGGTCTAAAACTTAGATAATTTGTAAAATAGATCCAATGGCAATATTGAACCCTGCATTTCCTCACCAAGATCGCATGCCAGGCTTAGCAGCAGGGATGCCAAAGCCTCCAAATTATATTATTATATATACTTATCAGCATCCCTTGTAAAGCTTCACGAGAATCCAAATATCCAAAGCTTTTCAAAAGGGGCGCCAACATTCTATTGCATTTACTTATCAATGCTCCTTGGAGAGCATCATAAGCTTGGGGCTTCGTAATCATAAAATATGAGCTGTCAATGGGGAAGAAGAATTGAAGCAATTTTTTATAACAATGTGGTACAAATTTATTCTGGAGGGCAGTGATGGTAAGCGAATGGTTTTACACATGCACGTTGAATCATAAGGTCTGTCATTGAGAAAAGGCACCTACGCGCAAGTATTGAAGTAAAATTGAACCTAATTTAAGTCCTGAAATTGCCTAGTTTGTGTCAATAGGATGTTACACCCCGTGTCTCTCTTTCGTTCACTTGGAAAGGTCGATTTGCATGTATATTCTATAAGTACAGGCTTGAGTGAAATTTTTAAAAACCGGATATTTCGGGGAATTTTTGTCTGGTATCGCCTTTTCTGGGAGCGGACGAACAAACCAAGGTCCATCTTGTTTACTTGTTGTGTTGCGGATCAGTTGTATGTGGAAGTGGGGTGGGGGGGGGAACCGGTTGGCTGGTGAGAGAAAGAAATGAGGTTTAACATCAACTCGACACAA